GTTTGCTTTGGAGGTTTGCGCTCGAGTCGGAGTTCCCAGAAAAGATTAGTTTACGCGACGTGCTCCGTTGCTGGGTGAGGCAGGAGAAGGGGCAGTGGCAGAGGACAGGGGGAGGTGGTTTCCTGCCTCACCCAGCAACAGAGCATGCTGTGCCCCACTGGCTCATCCTTCGCTCCTCTCTCCTCCGTTACCACTCCCTCTCCTGCCTCACTTGGTGATGCATTGGCAGCAGAAGATAGGGCTCCTCTGCCCGCACCGCTGCCCTGCCTCCTCCTTTTTTTGTTTACTTTTTACTTGGTTGGACTTATGAACAAAACGGACTTACAAACAGCCTCTTGGAACGTAACCTGTTTGTAAGCAGGGGACTATCTGTACCATAATATATGTTGGGAAAGTTACTCTCTCTCTATCCATCCATCTATCCTGGATCCCCAATGGGATGACTACAAGGTTTCATGCCCCACTTGATTTAATTTTTATTTTTTAAATAGAAGAGTCCAAAGCAAAATTCCAGTTTCAACTATAAACATTGTTTCCAGGATTGCCTCACATGTATCCTCTATGGATCCTTAAAAAATTAAATGGTACCGCTCTGTTTTGAAGTAGGCTCAGTTAAAGACTATAATATGCTAAAGAGGCAGAGCATAATGGTGGCAAAACATCTGAAATTTGAAATGGGTACCAGTTACTGCTACAGCTGATGACTAGATTATCTAAAACATCTGTTGACTAGCTGCAGATTGCCAGTAAGTTTCTGAATCCAAATTAAAGTGCTAGAATTCACTTTTAAAAGTCTGTTTGGATCCAAATCATTTGAAAGACCACCTTGACCTATACCTGTGATCATGATCACAGGCCTTATTATGTACCCATCTACAAAAATAACTGGACAATGAGCAAAAGACATGGGGCCTTGTTGCCATTGCCCAGAGTCTACATTCTCACAAGGAATGCAAATCCTGAAGAGCGCCCTGATTGCCCTAGCTATACTTGTCTTATTTAATTAACAATATTTTAGATACTGCACCAATCCTGATGTATTCTGGGTAAGTGACAAAAAGTAAAACATACAATTTATACTTTTAAAATAGAAATTAGAACTTTATTATTAGACACCCCCAAACAACTATGGTTCAAAAGCAGGTATAGATTCACCTTGTCTACAGAAAATAAGTAAGGTTAGGGCCATTGGTACTTCCTGGAAGTGTGTGGGGGGGGGGGAGAGTGTTTCAAAGGGGTGGTGGCAATACTAAGATGGCTTGTTGGGTGGTCCACACTGCATGTACTTTGTTAGTTAGGACTATACTGAGATTCCCGTACAAAGGACTTCTTTTTAATCCACTAGGATAACTGAATGCTTGTGGTAGGGAGACAGGCTGCAGAACAATTTGGAATTGTAATTTATTTTTAAAGCATAGTAACACAATACTTCTCTTAGTCAGTTCTTGCACAGGTAAGCCCTAAGCACTTGATTCCCAACCTGTGGTATGCAAAGATCCTCTAGTTAGTCTGTGGTTCAGGTTCAGAAATCAAAAGAAACCTTTAAAATGGCTGAAGTCTTGTGAAATTTTTGGGAGTTCTTACTTGAAATTTTGCGAGATTTCAGGTGAGAAGACCAAAATCATGCAAAATCTTAGCCATTATTGGTTTTTTAAAAAATTTGAAGTCCTACAGATGCTGTCTCGGGGAAACTCATCAGGGTGCACAGAGGCATTGGATTACTGCTCCATGCCTTAGGTGGTGGCCTGTATAAACGTTAAAACTATTACTCTACAGAATTGCCTTTTTAGTGAAATAGAACTTACTCTTGATCAAACAGTTTGGATTGCTTCATTCTTGCCATATCAGCTTTAGCAAGCTGAGTTCTCAGGACTTCAATTTCCTCCCTATATAATCCAACACCTTTATCCACCTGGGCCTAATTGATAAGAAAACAAAACATTATCTTTTGAGAGGGCGGAAAATGACTGCTATATATTTCCAAGTGCCTAATATGCCAAAGACTTTAGAAAATGAAATCATTTAACATGTTAGGTAATAGGCTTTTGGAATTCACCATATTCAAAAAGCTGCATTTTGATTTACAGAGCTTCTAGCAAGAGCACTACATCTCTCTGCAGATCCAAGTAACAATACTAGGAGTACTTCCAGAGGGAGGTTCCAATCCAGCAAGAGATCACAGTTAGCACCCTGTCAAATCAGTTGATGGCATAACTGAACAAACTGCAGGAAATTGCATGTCCCCATTGGTTTTGTTATGGGATCAGTCATAACAGTAACAGCAAAAACCAGTCCACAAATGACTGGGGTGCATAAAAATACTAGAGGACGGACCAAAGTTGCAGAGCACTTTCTTTTTCTTTAAAGAGGGGCATGTTCAGCCACAACCAGTGGCCAGGGCAAGGCTGGGAGAAAGCAGAGCATTGTGGACTGATGGTTCCTTTTATGGAAACTTGCCTTCCAATGTCCAACAGCCCAGAACATTGCATGAGTTTTAGGTAGGAATTGGTAAGGCTTGTAGAGAGAAGGGCTCCTTGTCTGAATGTATGAGACATTTGTGTGAATCCCATGGATCTAAAAATGAGAATGCTTTACTCCCAACATGAAGCATCAAAGGAAAAAAATCACTTATGTTAATGCATACCTTGAGTGTTTCTCTCTCAGTTATTGTGTTTCTTAGGCAATGTTCTTTTTCCTCTAATGCAGCTTGAAGCCTGACTACTTCGCTCCTGGAAGCTCTCACTTTAAGTTTCATTTCTAGTATGGCTATTATTTTCTCCTTTTCCTGGAGATCTTTTCCTGCTTTATTTGCTACGCTTTCCAGTTCTTGGATTTTCAACTTTAGATTCTTGGAACAAAGACAGTGTGTTATTAGAAAATGGAACAGTTCTTCCAGATTTTATATTCTTAGAAAAAGTTCAGCTGTTACTGGTGAAAAACCCTGAAACTTGCAGAGATACTTTGACCTGGAGCTCTCAAGATCAATCATAATGATCTTCAGAGATCCAGTATCTCCACATCTCCAATATTTTGGATACTGGGCTCTTTATACCAAAAGTGTGGCCTGATAACAATGAAAATGATCAGAAAAATAGACCATTTCTACCAGAATAGTAAGAGTTGCGGTATCAAAGAGGAGGATGAATATAAGAGCAACTAATTCACAACAGTACACATCTTCATTCATAGAAGGTAAACCAGTGCCATTTCATATGTTCTATTGGGGAAACACCCTTTTTCTTTGTGTTCATATGGCCCAAATTGCCACTATGTTTCTCTGTAATCAGAGATTTAAAAGCAACATTCTATAGATTTCTTTTACATCAGAATATCATGACTTCTCAAAGTCAATTCCTTTGTCACACAGGTGAAGCAAATTTTTTACCATCTGGTCTCTTCAACTAGAAAAGTTGGATAAAATTAATGTACTGTCAGGAAACTTCTATAAGAACTAGAGTGGATTTGGGAACCCTGCATATTTGGGAAAGCAGAGTCTAAGCAGCAATTAAATAAATGGTATAACAGGGAAAGTTGCATAGAAAAAAACCCCTAGTATTAATCAAATTAAACAAGAGAGATCAGACTAAGGCACCAAATAGGAGTTTAACAAAAACACACCTTTATATCTTGCTCTGTTGCTTTCAGTTTATATGCTAGTTTATGGTTTTCTTCTTCTAGAGCCATATTAGCAACACCACAGGATTTTTGCTCTTTCTTTAACATATCTAACTGTAGAATCAGTTCCTTTGTTTCTTCTCTACATGCTTTCAGGGTAGCGTCAATCTCTCTGCAGTAGTTGGCACTTCTGGCTTCTAGCTCTGATCTAGCTTGAAAATAGGGCTGTAATATAAAGGTAGCAACAAATGTTGAGGGGAGGGTATTACATTGCTATCTCTTATACAGAGTCATCCAACAACATCAGAATTCAGTTTCTGCAAACTCCAGACCAACATGTCCAATAGTCCAAGTTGCTTTGGATTATTAAGCTATGAGAAACATGCAACTACAAGTACAGCATTATTTCCATGCCCACCCTCAACGAGACATACACAAGGATATCGTGCTATACACTTTAAACATGCACCTCATACCTGAACTTTGGGTTTTAGGGATCGACCAATGGACAAAAGCTTTTCATTATTTTGCTTTATTCTTGCCTCAAAATCTTGTATATCAAAATAATCTGAGCATCGTTCCAAATACTGTTCCATCTCTATGTTCTCGCGTTCCAGCTCTTGTAACATAACTTCTGTGCTACTGAGTTCTTCTTCCATTTCAGAAGCTTCTTTCAAAATTTGCTGTGCCAAGAAATATATCAGAATAAGCTGATTAGTCAAGACATGTGCCATAACTGAAGTATTTTTTGCATACCATTCAGCACAGTAACTGGGGAAGAACTTATACAGAAGCTCCTTAACACAGATACAGTATTAGTCCTTCTAGCTCTGTTAACAGCACTGAAGGGAAACCTTTGATCTGACTTATCTTCCTGTCTGTCCACAGGGCATCATAGCAGGGATAAAATAGTAACATTGATGTTATTATCTCCCTACAGTCCTAACCGGACATGCTAAGGACTGAATTTGGAAAATGTTCTGCCTTGAATTACAGCCTTTAGGAGAGACTCTTAACTCTGGCTTAGTATTCCTTCTTCTGCTGAGCTACAATTGGCAAAGTAGCACACCCATTGAACTATGTAAATATACATCCTTGTTTTTGTCAGACCGAATACTCAATTTTTTATATGATGGTTTTATTTACATTTTTTGGGTTCTTCTCTCATAAAGTGCTCTGAGCTCTCTTGGAAGGAAAAACAGTATCCAGTAATAACACCACCTATTATTATATCAAGGTAAAAGTTTTAACTTTGTTTATAACCTATCTTCCATGAAGCATAGGTAGTTTTCCTTCCAAATCCAGGTGGAAAAGATGCAGTGACAAAAGATGCAGCAAAAAAAGCCCAGTGCTCTCTTAGACCTCCACTGACTTCTGACAGACCTGAGCCTTTGAGTGGCATTGTACAATATCATTGTGGATCAGGGGGCAGAATCCTTGAGGCATCACCTTTAGCTCTCTGTTGGCTTCTGGAACATGAGTCTCCAGGAAACAGCTCTAACGGTAATCTTAAATCAGCAGATCATGGAAATTATTACCACAGGCCACACACAGGGCAGCAAATCTTTCAGGTCCTGTTATGCAATGCTCAAGACACTTCCCCTATCCAAATGTGAGATTGCATGAGATTTGCCAATCACATGAGATTTTGGCCATGTAATTCTTTTGAACTATATTTTAATTGAGGGAGGGGTGTTGTAAATGGTACTTGGAAGTATAGCAATGTCCTGGCATGTTGCTTTCCCAGCCCAAACTTGGCCCGGCACCAACCAGGCAACCTTTGACATAGCACTACCTCTGTGAAATCATCCAAGCTCTGAATCAGTCCGGAGACACCAGACTGCTGGGATCCGGCTCCCTGCTGTTCCAAGTGAGGTTTTCTGAGACGGTGAATTTGCATTAGCAGCTCATGTTGATTTCTTCGCTCATCAAACAGTTCCCTTGTGTACTTGCTGACGTTTGTGTAGTATTCAGTTCTTCTGTTGCACAAGCAGGTAAAAAAGTACTGTTGAGGGTGAAGAAGTTAATTAACCAAACATATATGCTCAAAATCTAGTCGGGTTCAGTCACTTATCCTGGGATAAGCTTCATACCATTTTAGGCTGTACCCCATGAGACTTCAATTTTATAATAAGCTTGGTAAACTTTCAAAGATGCCACAAAATCTGGCTTGTTTAATGGGGGCTACCATCCCTGTTAAAATCCTCAACAGCCTGTTCTTCCACTAATTGGAATCTTATGCTGTCTATCTTTAAAGAGAATTTGTGCTGTTCTTTTCCTGAGATACCTCTTAGTCTGTGAACAACAGAATTTTGGACTGGATCAATCTTTCCCAACGTGGGTGCCCTCTAGATACATAGATGTTAAAACCCAAATTCTCAACAAAGAATATGCTGGGTAGGGAATTCTGGGAGGTGAAATGCACATGTCTGGAGGATACGTATGCTGGGGAACGCTGAGCTAGATAGACCTCTGCTCTGATACAACAGAAATCTGCCTTAAAGTCTAAACATAATTAATGTAAATCATGCAACAGAAATAACCGAGATAGGTTTCACACATGACTTTAAGCCAGGAACTTGTTTAACAGAGTTTACTGCAAACACCACAACTATCTGAGTTTATAAGGTATACTAAGCCATAAATCATGGTTTTTTAACCCCAAAGGATAGATTCACATACACACAAGGCTAAAACTAAACAAATCACTCAATGGTTTAGCATGTGGTATGATAAAGCATTTAAAACTAGTACCTGAAGTTTGTTCAACAAATTGTACAGGCTGTTATTTATGCGTTCATATTCCATTTGAAGCCTTTTGATATTATCGGCTTCCTGTGGAGAAATGTCAGAAAGCCACTTGGCTACTAGGGCTTTTTTGCTATCAAACTGATTCTTAATCTGAAGAGATATATTTATGAAATATTCTGATCTTTTTTCCAGCACTGGAAATTTCTTCAGGACCTCCTGAAATAAAAAGGAATCAGGTTGAAGCCTACCTACAAACTGTATTCATGCATTTACAAAGAGGCAAAGAGATAGCTATTGACTAAAGTTTTCATCTTTTAAACTTAGTGATTTTCTTAAAATCACTAAAGTCATAGCAGGAATAAAATAAAATAAAATTTCATACTCAAAAGGATCATAATCTTGTATTGTTAAGAAACGTATCTTGGTCAACCAGCATTACCATGACTCAGTGCGCTTTGTGAATTGCATTCATGTGAGCAAAATACTGTACTCTTTCTTGAACATTACAGCTGTCCTTGCACTTCTGTGTATGTGTTTTCATTGGTGGGCTTAGCAGAGCACATATACATTCACAGTCAGCTGCAGAAAAGTAGCCATGCCATGCGGGATATCTGTAGGGTGTGATCAAAAAAGTCAAAATGGCAGCCATGATAGGACAATCAACACTCTGTCCACTTTTTACATGCAATGTGCATAAAAAAGAAATGGAGCTTCGACTGCACTGTTACTGCCGCCATCTTGACTTTTTTTTACCATACCCTGCAGACACGCCTGATACCAAGTCTTCCAAAGGATGTAGTTGCTTCAAGATGGGGTGCTTTGCACTGCACTGCCATTAAGCCAAGCTGCCTCACCAGCAGCCTGGATCAGGGATACCACCAGAAAAACCCTTCAGATACAATGGATGAATATATAGGACCAATTTGCTGCGACAATTTAGAGTTGCCAAAGGAAAAAGAGAACTTCCTGATCATCCTGGAAGTTGGCTAAAGAGAGAACTCTGAGAATTCTCTTATAAAGAACTGCAAAAAATAATTCTTTATTTTACCCATAAAATAGTTTCTTGAGTCTTAAAAGCAGTTTATTTTGCAAAGGTCAGCAGCAAAATAGAACAGTCTTGGACTGAGGAACCTGCTAGATGTACAATTCACCTTTCTATACCAAGACCTCCTGGATCCTAAATAGGTGCTGCTCCTCTAATTTTTTGTATAATACACAAGAACACAGATTGATTGGATATAGCTAGAGATGGAGTTCAGTCTTTGTGCGAGAACAGACAGAGGAACGATAAGAGGTAAGAGTTATAATTCCATTTAATTCAGATTTAATAAATGGAAAATACAGTAAAAATGGTGATAGCATTTACCATTATTCTGAATATTTTCACTTCCAAAGTTTCAAGGCAGTCTTGCTTTTCTTCTTTGATATTCATTTCAGAATCCTGGATAGAAGAATATATATTCAATGGTAAGCTATTATCTCAATATGAGCAGATTATTTCCTACTAACTAGGATAATCAAAAGAACTCAGTCACACCCCAGTTTGGTTTACTAGTTAGTGTAGACAATTTTTAAAGGTTTTGCAAGGTCTCAGTTAGAAGGGTCTCAGATTTATCTGGGAGCCTTTATTACATGCATTAATCCTTGGTGATAAAAAAAAATAGAAGAATCACACCCAGTTTCTTATTTTTGGCTGCCTAAGATAGGGATGCTGATTAAAAAGTGAATCAACAGACTTTCCTCCCATAAATAAATAAATAAATAATAAAAAAACACCTAACAAATGGCTTTAAAGAGAGATTGAAACGAGAAACAGTCTGGCAACTTTCAAGTCGGGTTTGCTTTGTCATGGTTGATGCTGCTTCCATTCATATTTATTCCCCTAGTAAATATTGACGACATTTGTTGACTCAGTGATTATTTTCTATATCTATCAACAAAGTGATACAAATTAGGATTTAGAAAGTCTTATTTAATCTTTTTTAAATTGATGCTGTCAAACCAAATGGATTAAAAACCAAGT